AATCTAGACTTATGAAAGTGTTAAATATGTTGAAATTCACCAGAGGAGATTCATTCTTATGTCTGATATTTTAAACTCGCAATATTCTATTCTTGGAAATTACTGCTAATTTTATAAACAACATTATGCTTAGGAGTAGGATATAGCATGTGGAGATTTTACAGAGAAATTCATAATTATAGAATATAGGTATCTGTTTTATAAGAAACAACTTAGATAATCTTTCATAGCCTTTACCAATGACACATTTTTTTCTTCTGATTTAGTAGCATTTTGTGGTTCTTAGACTATTTGATGTGACTGCTTTAATTTTTTTATAAGAAATAAAATTTTAGATAGCAATCAAAATAGAAAATAGAATTCCTATTTATAAGGAAGAATAGATCATTTCTTAGATGAAAATACCCCTTTTGTAATTTTTTTCTTATTTTAATTAAGAAAAATATAATCCTCAGTCTTCAAGCTTGCATAAACTATGAAAAGATTGTAAATTCAGGCTCCCTAGGAGGCCAGCCAATTCATCAGAAAGCTTTCCCTCCCCTTTTGCCTTCACTTAAAAAAATTTAAATCAGCCCCATAGCTAAAAACTTTTGTTCCAAAGAGGCAGAAGTTTGTGTAATACAAGAGTTTTCACTTCCTTTTAAAGACTAACTCTAAAAGCCACATCATAGAATCAGAATTAGTAGGATCAACATAGAGACAAATTTTAATATATAAACTGCATTTTGCTCTTCCATAATAAGTTAATATATTTAATTATACTTTTATAAAATACATTATTGTGAATTTTAAGAGAAATAAACATGCCATATAGTATTTCTGAATCTTCATAGAATTGTTAGATTTTTATTACCTCATAAGAAAGTTTATAATGAAAAATTGATTTCTTTTTGAATTATAAAGATAAAGTAGTATTTTCTCGGTCTATTCTTGGGAGGAGTTTTGATCTGTCATTAAGACATATAAACACATGTATACATACATACATACCATTACATTATACCCCCCCCACACACAAAGAATGGTTAGTTGCCAGTGCTGAGTTTTCAATAACAGATTTATGATGAGTAATAGAACTTGAGAGAAAGAATGGAATAATTGGAAACTAATTACAAATTATTTTTAAATGAATGCTGGGCATTTGATTTACTACTTTAAGAAGTAAAATAAGATAACAAAATAAACTAAGGCTTTAACTTAAATCTGGCAAATTTATGTTTTTGAAGTATTCCATTCTCATTTGATATTTTTTTTACTACAGTGGAATTGTCGCAGCAGAAATGATCCCTACCATAGCTAAAACACAAAACATTGTTTTCATGTTATTACAAATAAAATGCATTGCATTTTAATTTTGTGATTCTATGGTGTTTTAAAAATAATATCTGCAACCTGCTCCATAAATTTAAAATAATTTTGAAATTTTGCTAATTTGAACATATAAACAAATGAATTTTTTTTTAGGTTGGGGGTTGGGAGTTTGTGTGTTATTGTTCTTGTGATTGGCAGTGAAAGCCTTATTTCACAGCTTGCAGTGAGGAGCTATTGGGTAAAAGGTGGCTGTGCCCCACAAGTTAAATTCAAAAAGTGTCAATCAAGACTTCACATAGGTTACTTAGAGAATGCATTTTCTTACTGGTTTCACCAAATGTCGTCTCATGCTGTCTTTGATTGGCACAGCCTGGCAGGGAGGATGGATGAATCTGTCACCGGCTGGTTAATTGTGTTGCTGGTCTCAGCCTGACATCAGGTCTTTGACTCTTAAGTGACTCAATACAAAACAAATTAGCAGATTGTAGTCATATTTCTCATTCTATATGCTTTGACTTTGTTGAATGGAGTCCATAAATCATATTGACTGACACTCTAGTAAATGATGAAAGCTGCTTTTGAGGTAGCTAGTGTGGATCTAGAAAGCAGCACTGTGAAGGTGCCATGGAAGGATGCATATGGCTGACCCTTTGGGAATTTCTTAGGAGCCAAATGTCTCTTTACTGCAATTGTTCTTAAAAGAAAGGCTTTTGGGTACTGCAAAAAGGATCTAATATGTCAGCAGATTCTCTTTTACAAGTTCCTTTGAAATACAAGAAGTTTATCTAAGGGTTTTCTCCTTTTACAACATGTATTTCAGCAAAATGTTAGATGGTGGGTTAAAAAATTGTTGTCCTTAAAAACTTCAGCAGGTGTTTTTACTTATAGATTAGTTCCTTATTTTTTGAACTTAATTTGTTGAAGCCAAAGAACAAGCTAATGATGTTGCAATTAATTTTTCAAACGTGAACAGTAGATATTCCACAGTTGTTTGCAATTGGAAAGCTATTCCATTTTTTGGCAAATAAGTGCATCTTTTTTTGTTTCGCATAATGAAAGAAGTAGAACATGCTAAATGAAAAGCCCTGGCATATGAAAAGCATCTTATCTCAGTATTCTAGATGGCAATATGTTATTAAGGGCATAACAGTAATGACAACACAATTCAAAGAAAGACTTCAATCAGTGGCTTTCACTATAAATACTGATGATGGAAATGACTTACTAGAGACATTTTATGTGTATTTGTATTTGAAATGTTAACATTTTTTCTATTTTCAATTTCAAAATAAATACCAAAAGCAATTTAAAAGAGTATGATATGTAAATTTCCCAAGTTGGAAGTATTGAATGTTTAAAAGCACCACGCAGACAACTAATAAAATAATAGTTAAAATAATTTTATGCCTGCATCTTTATTAACCCTAATTTTATATTCATATCTGAAAGGAAAACTTCAGTTTCATTTGCATATTTATAAAGTACTTTATAATTCATTTAATATTGTATCATTGAGAATAATAAGCCTGTAGTTACTATACATAGTTTAAAGAAATATCTAAATTTTGCTACAGATGTATTGAAAGGAAGAATTAAATGCACATATATATACATGTATATGTATTTGCTTTTGAAGTACTTATTTTCCCCAGATTTTTTGAGTGTCTTATGTTTTAGTTCTATTATCATTATTTTCTGCTCTAATACTGTTATTATTATTATGTACTAATTTGTAGCATCTGTTTTTGATCATAAAGGCTCATTAAGAGTATCTTTTACTTATATGCAATATTTGCATATAAAATAAATTGAATGCTAAAACTTTTTTGACAACTTATAAATCTGCTTATGCAGTTATTACATTATAGTAACAACATAAGTAGAAGATGGAGCTAATTTGATGGAACAGTACATTCAACTAAAATACTTGTTCATTGAATCAGAATGACATTTCTATTATATATTTTAGGTCTATTCCATTGTAATTAAATGAATTTCCATTTATTCTTTTCCTTTTTCTTTTCTTTATTTTCCCCCTATTCATTTTGATATTATGCTGCTTGAGGAATAATATTGCATGTCTACCAGATTAATTCCTGTTGGGTTTGGGATCTTGAAGCATGCATGTTGACTTGCGTTTTTTTGTATTGTTTTATATATTTGTTTTCAGCAGTTCATCAGTGTCTCTCAAATATGTTGTTCATACTTGTTTTCTTCTGTAAGATTTTTGTTTGAAAAATTGACATCTCAATTTAGATATATAGTTTTTTTTAAACTGTGCATGGTGTTTAATGCTAATGGCTCATTTATGCAAACTTAAAATTTCTAATCTGTCTTGTGAAGTGTCTGATTTTTAAAAAATGTATGATGTTTAATAATATTATTTGAAAATATATGCTTTTATCTCATCAATTTTTGTACTTCTAACAATTATTATGAAGTTTTTTTGCACCGAGATTTCTAGCTTTTGTGTTTGATATCTTTTTTTTTTTCATTTAGAACATGTTTTTTAGGCTCCTGTTGTTTTATTTGTCTTTGACTGTTGTATGTAGGAAAAACATAATTAAATAAGGAATTTTACTGTAACATGTTGTTGATGCGAGTAAGACAAAAATGCAGCTTTTTATGCTCCCCAAAGTACAACTTTCTGACTAAATAATGGGGTTTTGCATACCACATTGGAAAAACAATGGTTTATAAACTGTATGCTATAGCACATACTTGTCTCTTACTTCACTTAATATGTTAATATTTCATTTGTAACATACTAAGAATTATATTGTAACATTTTACTAAAAGTAATCACTAAGTTTTAAATTTTCAACATTCACCAACTTTGAAAAGTAAAATTTATGCTTAAAATCATTATAGTGTTATGGTTGGAGACAGCTCTGAAATGTAAACACTCAGATTTAAGTTGTCTTTATAGAAAAAGTTTTGATAATGTTGTAGAAGAAAATATTTTAACAGTTTGTACAAGTTGTAAGAAAGATACAGTTATGTTTTTCTTGGTTATACATTTCTAAATTCTAATTTAGAAAATTAATGTTAGTAATTTGTAAGGTTTTTTTTGTAAGTTCTGTTGATTAATTTTGTAAGTTCTATTGATCTCTAAAACTAACAGATGACTTATGAAAAACAGATTCTGTTGACAGGTGATACATTTAAAAATGTTCATAAAAACTGTTATAAATTATCTTTTTTATAAGAAAGCAATATACTCAGCCATGGTCCTTTTTCAGATTTAGGTCATTGTTATTTGTGACTTCATGCAGTTAACTTGTATAATTCATGGATTACATTAATTTTTTACTTTAATTGCATAAAGGATGCCTTATCCTATTTTTGACAAAATTGCTGTGATCATAGATCAGTAAAGTATACTTATATTTGAATTTTTATTCTTATAAAAATGTTTGTTGTTTTTCAGGTGATAAAAATAATGACTGATGATTATTGAACATGTATTTTAGTTTATCTTTGTGCCATTACAACTTTAATGTTATTATCTGAGAAATAAAAGTAAATGGCAGCACTGTTTAATTCCTAGTCCTAGGGCAAATGCATTGAGTATTCTGAAATTTAAAGGACTGATAATTATAAATAGAAAACTAATCTTAAGATTTGATGAGGTCTCACTTAACTGATATTTTATGATGTCTTTGTGTATGTGGTTTTCTCTTTATTAGGGAAAAGTTGCCCAGACAGCTTGTATGTCAGCCTGCCAGCATCTGTCAACATCCTTAATGCAGATGTTGTTGGACAATGAGTTAAAACAGATAAGCATGGGAGCTGTTCAGCAATTTAACTTAGATGTCATACAGTGTGAATGTAAGTACCTTATTCTGAATATTAGTTAAATCCATTTCATTTCCAGGAGCTTATTTTTTAATTAGGTGAAATAATCTAAGCACAATTCAGAAACTTAAGAGGCCAAGAGGGATACATGGCTCTAAATAAACTTCCAGCAGCCGTAGCTTCTGGGAAGCCTGCTGCCTTGCTCCTCAGGGGAGGAAATAAGATCAGCCACAGAGCTAGGGGATGCCAGAGAGGGGTGTAGAAGTGGAAAAGTAAAAAATAAATGACAATCCATCTTCCTACCTTTCACATTTTACTTTCTCTAAATCAGGGGTTCTTTTTTGTATTAGGTCTATGAAGCCTAAGGACCCCTTCTCGGAATGAATGAAATAAATAATGAAATATGTGTGTGTGTGTGTGTGTGTGTGTGTGTGTGTGTGTGTGTAAATATATATATATAAAATTACAAAGGAAACCAATTATATTGAAATAAAATTATCAGAAATATTAAAAAAAAACCAAGTTCACAGACCCCAGATTAAAAATACTTGCTCTAGGTAGTCCAGTCTTTTCAATAATGTCATGTAGTTTCCCCCAACATTTCATTCTGAATGAACTTAATCTGTAGAACCAGTTCTTTTTTCTTTTTTGCTGTTAAGCATTCTGTTATGACTGAATATTTTCTTGTATTCTGAATCTTTTTTCTTTCTTCCTGCAATTCTTAGGCAAAGCACCATAAGAAAGTATCCATTTTACAGATGAGGAAACTGTCTCAGAGAAGTTTTACCTGACATGGCCAGAGTCACAGCTAATAAGTGTCAGCATTAGATCAGGAACCTAGATCCCAATATTAGATGTTACTTTGTATTAGCATGAAATATATGTAAAATGCGTGACTGTGGACATGTGTACAACTGAACAATTTTTAGATAGTGTTTTATAGGACCAATTCAATAGGGATTTGTTTAAATTGATGAAAACTCCTGGTTGGCAAATTCCACCTTATCATAAACTCAAGTACTCAGCAATTTAGTCAGGCACCACTGGTGAGAAATTGAAAATCAGTGGGGCACAAGGGGGATTATAAATACTTATGTGAGGCAAATTTTGAGATAATAAATCTTGTATTGGAGAGTGACTTTTAAAGAATAAAGAGATTAGAACCATATATTTCTAAGAGTGGCCCTATTTGCTTATGAACCTGCTCATTTCTTTCAAGGAAAAAGTTAAAAAGGAAAGTTTTCTTTTATGAAAAGAGAAAGGAAGAAAGAAAAGGGGTCTGTACCTCCGATAAAGATAAATGGCTTAGAAAAAAGGAAAAATTTTAGATTTTTAGAGGGAATTATTGTTCCCTTAGATACACTTTCATTTTTTTCTCTTCAATCAGGAGCTATCCTTGCTTCACTCTTCCTTAATTTTTTTTCTTGCAGCAAATTGTCCAGCTCACAAACAATTAAGATCATTTCTACGCTATAACTATTGAGCATCTAATTCCTTCATGTTCCTTAGAAGCTGCCTCATCAGCTCAACTTGAAGACTTGTTTATTCAGGAATCATCTCACATAGACATTAGTTAACCCATTTTTCGTGCCTGCTAATTTTCAATGGTCTGTTGGTGGTGCTGAGATAAATTGTTGCATCCTTTAGGTTATTGACAGATGATCATTACTTGAATATTGGATTTGTTACTTCAAGGTAGAAACTGCCTTTCTTTTAGGTTCAAATGACAAGGAACAGATCTCTTTATTATTGTTGAAGTTTGCCACAGAACCTCTCTTGCTGGGAATTTACATCCCTAAATGTATACAAAGAACTTATACACTTATTCGAAGAATCACAGAATGTCAGAATTGGAAGAGCTCTCAGAGGCCATCTACTCCAACTGGTATTTATAGAGGAAATCCTTGTAGAACATCCTCAACCTCCCAAATAACATTTGCTTGAAGTCCTATGGCTAGGAGAACTCAATAATATCGCAAGGTGCTTCATTTCTTTCACTAAACTGAAAAATTGGCTTAACTAGCAGAAAGTCAGTGAGAAATCCCTCTGCCCCTGCACTAGAGACTTTATGTATATACATACATACATACACATACATACACATACATACATATATACATACATATATACTTTATAATGAACAAATTAGAGCATTAACTCTTGGGGTTTTAATGTACATGTAATTAATTTTAATTTTCCTAACTTTATGGCATAAAAGAATCCCAGTACATTGACTATCAAAGAATTATACAAAACCATTTAAATAATTTATTTTCTCTAATGGCAGAGTGTCTTTTTTGTTTTTGTTTTTTTTGGTTAGGCAGTGGGGTTGAGTGACTTGCCCAGGGTCACACAACTAGTAAATGTTATGTGTCTAAGGCCGGATTTGAACTCAGGTCTTCCTGAATCCAGGGCCGGTGCTCTATCCACTATGCCACCTAGCTGCATTAAAATAATCCTAAAGAGGCAACCTAGAAACTAAAAAGGAAATATACTATTTGTATACTTGGGTAGCAACAGAATTGGGATAGCTGACAGTTGGAGGGATAGAACTCATTATTTGACTAGATAGGTTGGGAATTGGTAAGTAATACAAATTAAGTCCAGGAAGATCAGCCCGGGCAAAGAGATCTTGGAGACAGAGGTTTGGAGCCCAGGCAGAGAAGTCTAGACTCCAGGAAAGTCAGATAGTAGGGATCAAGAAGTCCAGGTTAGAAAACTGGAACATATGATCAGAATCCTAGGCAGAAGAGCCAGGAAGTATAGAGTTAAGATTGTTGACTGTCAGTATAGTAGAGAGTGGGGCATTTGAAGATGATGAGATGGAAAAGGACACAGAACCTTGTGTGATGCTTGGATGCTACTGTGACAGTGGGAAGCAGTTGAATGTAGTCGAGACTGATTATACCAATACCTCCACTTGAGTATTTAGGGGAGCTGAGTAGTGGGAAGGCAATTAGTCTTCAAGGGATGATAGGATTTAAAGCTCAAAGTGAACTTAGACATCCTATGATCCAAACTCCCCACTCTGCAGATGAGGAAATTGAAATCCTGCTAATATGTGATGAGTCTGATCACAAAGCTCATGTATCTTACTGCTTTTAGTCTTAGATATTATTTCTGTCAGGTTACCTCACATCTCAGGACCTTAGTCTCCTTACCTGTTAAATGATGAAGTTATACCTGTTATCCCAAGGTCCCTTCCAGAGAGCATCTTGATGGCCACTAGTAAGGAAGTTATGTGAAATAAAGCTGGAGAGGCAACTTGGAATTGGATTGTGGAGGGGGCCTTAAATGCTGGGCTAAGGCAATTTTATCTTGTTGCTAATGCTCATTATTGATGGGGTTGTGATCTAGACCCCAGAAAGGAAAAACCCTGGACTTCCCCCCCCCCCCCATGGCCAAATCTCTGGCGGTTGCCTGAGGCTATAATTCCATCAACTTTCATTGTGGCTACACCCAATCTCCCCTCTATTGTCTTACCGCCCTGTGGCCCCCGGCCATTTCCCACCCTCAATCCTAGCTAGGCTCCATTCTCCCTTGGCCACGAGGTCCAAGTCCCAGGAATTCTATTACTTCATAGAGTCCTTGGCCACTCCTAGATCCCTCCCATAGGTTTTCTGTATGTAAGGTCCATCTTGTCTCCATTAAGATGCTCAGATTCTTAGAATCTAGGCAGTGGCCCATAGATGCTCAGATTCCTTAAGAGTCTGGCTAATATGGTGAATCTTCAATAAACCTTGTCTTTGGCTGAAAGAAGGCTTGGGTTGAATTTTTTCGGGCAGGACCTGCGTGTTGTGATTTTGGGGTCCCAGCACCCCTGAACCCCTCCGTATCATTTTGGAACTGCCTTACCCCAAGTTCTTCTCCAGCCAAGACTGGAAGGTATGTGAGCTTCCCTCCTCCCTCTTTTCTTGCTCTGCAGTTTGAGTCGCTCTCCAAGCACCAAGGCTTGGAGGTGCTTTTCGGGCAGACAGTTATGAGGCTGTCTTGAGCCCAGCCTGATGCTCTCAGGCTTTCGGTCCAGTGGGTTGGTTCAAGGCCATGGACTTGGGTACACCTTCCGCGGCATAGAGGACAAGGACGGACGCCCTATCTGGAAGTGTATGCTCAATTCTGTTAATTCTGTCAGTGCTAGGGAATTGGGGAAAACTGCAGTTGCTTTTTGGTTCCCTGAGGCTTACTTACTCCCTTCCCTCTGCACCTCTGAATCCTCCTTCATGGAGGTCACAGGGAAAGTTAGAACAGCTAATGGATGTTCTAATAAACTTTGTCTTTGACTGAAAGAAGGCGTGGGTCGAATTCTTTTGGGCAGGACCCGCGGGTTGTGATTTTGGGGTCCCAGCACCCCTGAACCCCTAAACCGCATCAGTTATTATATGTGGCAAATCTGAGATTGAAATTCAGATCTTGTAATTAGCAAGATCTTAGCAGGCCCAAATTGACTTGCTGAAATATTAAGCTGTGTAGAGTTTGAGAAGCCTCATAACATAAATCTGCATCACCCATAAACCTTCACGAATAAAGAAGACAATGTACATAGAAGTACTCAAATATTCAAATGTGTCCTTGATCTCATCAATTTGGAAGTTTCAGTAGTGCAGATCACACCCCATTCGTTCCTTCAAATCATTTGTAACTCTTATTGATGTCAACTCATAAATTCAACAGAGGAGGTCAGCGTCACATTTTTCCTGACATTGTGGGAGTATCTGTAGAACACACTGGTAGTTCACTTGTCCTTTAATCAGTCAGTCAGCAAGCATTTATTAAGTACTTATGTGTTACACACTATGCTAAACACTGGGAATACAAATGCAAACCAAAAGAGCATTCTTGTTCCCAAATAGCATTGCATTCTAATGGAGGTGAGAGGTTAGGGGGAAAGGGAAGAGGGGTGAAGGTGCTTGGTGTGTATATGGAGGTGGAGAGGCACAGTAGAGACAGCTCAGAGTACAGTTCAGACTGGAGAATAATGAGACATGTCTGGTCTGGGCACCCTCCTTAAGTAAAGGTTCTGGGAAGAGCCATTCAATCAGAGGAAGAGGCCACAAGGGCCTTCTTGTGAATTTTCTGACTGGAGTGAACTTTCGGAATTGAAGAGCTTTCTGAGTCATGGTAGAGAAATTTTGGAGTGCAGTGAAGCCTGGAAAGGAAAGAGATCATTTCTTATTCTTGCCACCTAACCACCCCTTCTTCTCTTTCTATCAGATAATTTCTTGATGACATCTTTTATTCCTCTTCACCCCCTTCTTCCTACTTCCTCATTGGTTATATATTGCAGCCTGCTTACACCCATCATATGCCTCTCCATTGCCAAAGTGGAAGAGGAGGAAGGGGAGTGCTGATATACTGTCAGAAGCAAGACGTGATAGCTTATGATCGGAAAGAGAGTGAGTAGCTAGAAAAATTATAAAAATAAGTGTAATTCAGTTTAGAAAGATTTCTAACAAACAATTAAAAATTCACTTATAAAAGTTAAGCCTCAGTTATTTGTGAAATTCACTCGTTGATCACTGCATTCTTTTGTGATGTGTTGAAAAAGTAAGGTGTTACTTGACTTTGGTTTTTATTTTGTTGCTGTAGATTGTTACACTGTCTTGTGTCACCATGCTTGCTATGTGGTCTCAGACCAGGTTCAGTCATGAGGGAAACTGATCCAAACAGAGGGGATGAGGCTTTTCTCATGCTCTGGTTGGTTATAACTCTACTATGGAATGGAACTCAGGCGGGGTAGGGGAGCGGAAATCTCTGAAACTATGCTTATATATAGCTCATGTCTAGGTTTTTTCAAACAGGGTCCCTTCTAGAAAAGATATTTAGTGCATATAAAATAGATATCAGTTATAGGATACCAAATTTTTTCTCTACCCCCCCAAAAGTTCTTAACAAATACTTAAAGTAATAATCTGTCATAATTATCATTTGAAATAATTATCTGTCATGTCAGTTATATCCTGTAACTTTTTAGAGCTGCTGAGCAGATATTTTACATCTAATTTGTATCTGTACTATTGCAGCAACTCACAAAGTCTAGACCTTCTGGCCACTTAGGCATGGCTCTTTATTCCCTTTAGGTTCAGAATGAACCTGTTGTTGGTCATTTTCTCCTCTTGAAAAATGATATAGTTATAGGAAACACCTCTTCCTGGTCAGCTGGCACCCACTCAGAAGGGAGGATCTCTCAAATTCATGAGATAGCTGTGAAGGCTAGAAGGAGCCATCTTTCAGTATCAGTGGTTGCCAGTGAAAGACTTGTGCTTGGAAAAGGAAACACAAAGCATAAGAGGCAGCCCCAGAGTCTTGAGGCCCAGTTTCTGGCTCATTTAGGCAAGCACATGTTTTTACTACTGTATGTTTCTCTTCCTTTGCTGCTGGGGGAGAGGGGAGAGAAATGCCCTCTGCCCCTTCCTGGTAGTGCAAGGGAGAGCTGGCAGGGTCCCAAACCACATTCTCCAAATAGAGATGGGTAGAACTTTTCTATATTCCTTATAGCCAGCAGCTCTTCCTGCCTCAGTCACTAATAATCTTTGACACAAACTATCAGTCACAGAGACCAAGGGACCCACCAGGAGACACTGGTTGCACATGGCCTTTAACAGGGAGTCAAATCACTGGACGGGTTGGAACACATGTTGAGCTCTAGGGAAATGCTCCAGGCCAACACCACTCCCTAAGAACACAATCCCAAGAGATGAAACTGGTTGAAAATATAAATATTCTCAAAAAAGATTCAAGTAATTTCATAGAAGACAAATCACTAATGAATTGTAAGCTAAACTAGGTTGTCCAGAGCACATCTTTAGCTTTTGAAGTTGATATCTCACAAAAACTTCCTTAAACTGTGCTGCCTCCTATTCTTAAAAATTCCTTAATAGCAGAGTCAGAGATTGGTTACAGACCTAGGTGGACAATATTAGATCCAATAACAACTCCCAGGTTGTTTATGAGTATATTCTTATTTTTGTAAAATTTGAGGCCTTTGTTTTTTTTTAAACCAACTAAAATTTGAATAAAATTAAATAAAGCAGCAGTTAGTAAAATCTCAGTGTTAAAACTTTTAGTGCTGTAGTAATCGATTCTTTAAAGATATTTTTGGAAACAAGTTTGTTACCTGCTTTGAAATCTTTAATCTCTAAAGTAGAGCCAGCATGCTTTTATGAGAAAATTTATTAAAAGACATGAGCAGACATTCCTACTTAGTTCTGATTTTGCTGCTTAAAACATTCCACCTGTTGTCTGCATATAAAGGTTACTCTGTACCCTTGTGTCTGTCTTTTATTGCTATTTGACTAAAGGTGGGATTTTTTTTTTTATAGCACAGATGCTGTAATAAAAGCAGATTTTTTAAAAAAATGTTGACAGCCATGGAATTGGTACCATTTAAAAATGCTTCTATAATCATTTACCTGGGGCCAAAATTCAGAAAAAACTGAATTTGATTGAAGTTATTATTTCTTTGTACTTTGTCATATAACTCTTCTAAATATATTGTAAAAAGGATTATAGCAGATCTGAAGTTCAAAGTTGTTAGAATGTTTGTGGTAATGGGTGTGGAAAATATTCTAAAAGGTGGAAATTATTGGTTAGAAATTGTTAACCTTCATATGAAATTGTTAAGCATAAAAATTAGAATACATTATAGCAGTGTTTATGATGAGTAGAAATTAATTCAGCTGTTAAATCTTCAAATACTTTAGTCATATTGTTAATGTTGTTCTTTTTTTTCTCCAGTGTTTGCTAGCTCTGAGCCTGTGCCAGGATTCCAAGGGGATACCCTGCAGTTAGCGTTCATTGACCTCAGACAAGTAAGATGCAATAATATACCTTTCCTTTCTTCCCCCTTTTTTCACTTTTTAATGGTCTACAGTGTACATTTACTATGTGCACATTATACATTTGAAAAGAAATGTGTTTTCTTAGAAACTTTGTTACTGATTTAAATAGTGGATGTCACTTTCTCTGTGCCTCCATCCTGTTAATATCCCATCATGATGGGTTTTCATCAGTGGATGTTTTAACACTTACAAAAATATGAACAGTAGTTTGACAGCTTACTAGTAGAGAAAATCAGTGCTACACCTAGTTTAAGAAGGTTAGATGCTTAAGTTAACATGAAAGTAAACAAGTTTTAAGGAGGGCAAGAATAATTGATTTAGGATCGACCTCCAAACCATTAAGATTTTAGTATAAGTAGTATTAAATCCTACTACACGATCATCATTGAGCAGCCTCCATGGGTGGAGGAATATAGAAGAAGCAATAAGTTGTGCTGGTTGATTTGAAACTTCGAGGAACTTCCTGGAGGAGGTCTGTTACTCAGAAGGGGTGGACTTGACCATCCAAACTGGAAAGTCCAAATGGGTGAATATTTATTGTTCAGATTATGACATGCATTTGGTTGGACAACTTATAGAGTTTGTCCATTAGTATGTATATCTGGGTCAGATGGCATAGATGGACAGTGACTTGGGCCTTGAGCTGAACATGAAAAGGAAAGTAGGCTAGATTGCTTTCAGAAGACTCTTTAATTATCCCAATATTCTCATGGAAATAAAAGTCCATCTTTTTTAATACTAACATTTTATTGGTGTTGTAGGTCAGTGAGATATATAATAGTATCCAAAGAACAAAAAATAATTATCACACAGCAGACAATGGAGAGATTGCATGGTAGGTGTGAGGAGGCTTCAACATAACCACTGGGGAAATTTGAAGAATTGTAAAAATACAAGATATCATGAAGGAAATTATAATAGGAAGAAAAAATGGGCTGGTGAGAGCATTGTATGACAGGTGAGCAACCAAACGGCTTCATTAGTACCCTTTCAATGCTGGGAGAAAGCGAAAAAGACCACCAAGATGCTGGGTGGACCTTCTTTGATGAATTTATAGGAGTACATGGATAATAGTGGCACAAGAAGGGCAGGCATGGATGAGTTGTGATCTTTGATCAGTGGCAGAAACTTTCAGATTGATGAGATCACACATCCAGTTGAGTAAAATAAAATACATAAAGTTTATTTCTATATATCGTCAGCTTTATATATGTCAAACAGATACCCTGGGGCCACATGTGACCCTCCACACTCCAAAATGCAATCCAAAACCAGATTAACATGTAATTGAGACAAAATGAATAAAAATACAATAAAACATAGATAATGTTAATATATGGTTTCCTAATTCAGTATGTAGCCACAGGCTTCCTTATGTACAGTTTAGTGGTCCTTGTTTCTATTTGAGGATGATACACTGGTCTACTCAATTACCAATGACAATGACCTGGCATACTAGCCTATAGTGAAAATCCATGGATAATCTGCTTTGCTTATTTGGTCACCTAACGCAAGTCAAAGAAACAGTGGAGAGAGTGAAGATGTAACCCCATTCCAGCAGGTCAGAAGAGTGTTCCTCATAGCAAGTTTTCCTAAGTGGAGAATAGGATCTCATCCTGGACTGAAGGAAATACCATTACCATATGAAAAAAAACCCCACTAATAGAGAAATTTAAATTAAAATGACCTGACACCCATTATAAAGGTGATAAAAAGGAAACCGACAGTTGTTAGAGGGGCTGTGGGAAAATAGGCACAATGTCACACTGTTCATGGAGCTGTGAATTGGTTCAGCCATCCTGGAAAGCAATTTGGAATTATGCCCCCAAAAGTCACTAAACTCTGCATACCCTTTGGCCTAGTAATTCCACTATTAAGCTTAAACCTAAAGAGTTCAAAGAAAGAAGATGTACAAAAATATTTAGAGCTCTTTTATAGTAGCAAAACACTAGAAACTAAGAAGAATACCTTTCTTTTGGAGAATGGCTAAACAAATTATGGCATATGAATAAGGAAATATTATTTTATTGCACCATAAAATATTATGAAATGGACAGTTTTAGTGAGAACTGAGAAATTTTGTATGAACTGATGCAGCATTAAGTGAGCAAAACCAGGAAATAACAAGTAACAACCAGAAAATAACAACAGCATTATAAAGAAAAACGGCTATGCAGACTTGAGGACTCTGATCGATGTAATGATAAACCACAATTCCAGAGGACCAGAGATGAAGCATGCTACATAAATCTTAATTAACAGACAAACGATGGATTCAAGATGTAGAATGAGACATATACTTTTTGGACCTGGCCAGAGGGAATTTGCTTTGCTTGACTTCAAATTTGTTAGGAAGATTTTCTTACTTTTCTTTTTGTTCAGTGGGGTAGGGAAAGAGGAGGAGGAAATAGAATGGAGATAAAATTATTACTTGTTAATTGAAGAAAATCAAAAATAAATTTAAAAAAAAGGGAATACCACTTATGGAGTACGTTCTCCCTCAGCTTTCCTAACTGGATTGAAGCCACAGTCCAACTCTCCTCCCTATATTTCCTTGTTTCAAGGAATGAGACTACATTACAACCCAACAGAAATATGCAAAGTAATTATGAATGGCTTCCAGTGTGCACAAATAATCTGCATGCTGGAAATTTGAAATTGACTATGAAACATTTCCTCAGTTGTGTTTTTATTGTGTCAACCATATACTATATAAATAGCATAGTATAGAATTTTCATAAGGGGTCAGAAAAGAGGATTATGGATGTAGCTAATAAACACTTAATAAATGTTGCTTAAAAATAAAGAAGTTCTAACACCTGTATTTTAAATTTGAATTATTTAGTGATTATCTCACTCAATACTAAAATCCAAGTCCTTCTTTTTCTTCCTAAAACAAGTTGTACTTTCTATCATTAGACAACATGTAATCTATTATGATAGCTCACACTCATATTATCATGTTATCGTTATTAACTTTGTGTCATTTTGGCTTCATCATCTGTTCAGGTATGTATATTTAGCCACTTGGGACCAAAGATCAAACACTTTTTCACATCTCTAATATTTTAATAAATCTTTAGTGAATAGTGTTTTTGACTATTACCTTTCTTGATTTTAATTGTCCAGGTAAGTGATTAATTCACAAAATATTAAATATATTCATGGCAAATGGAAAGGTCACAAGTTATTTTATATGTATAATTTTTACATGTGGTTTGCATAGAAATAGCTATTAAAGTGTGAAACATGATCAGATATGAGAAATATGCAATAGAAATTAATGGTATGGAATAACTGCATTTTCATTTCTCTAGTTACAGAATAACTGCATTTTCATTTTTCTAGTTTTGACAGGGGCTTAAGATCATTTCTTCTAATAGTTAATGATGAAATTTAATTGTAGTCCCTCATTATTTGTATTAGAAAATGAGAACAGGCAACTTTTTGTTTTTAGCAATTGGACTACTGTGGCCTAACTCTTTTTTTAAAAAAAAATAGAATCCTAGATCTAAACTGTCACCAAAAGAAAAAAAATGTTGAAAAAGTATTTTACCTTTACTTGTTTTTATTGTAAAATATACTTATGAAAAATTAAATGGTGAGATGTTAAATGTTTAAAGTGGTAAAAATTGAATTATATGGAGGACTTAAATATCCTTATAGACGATAACAGTTTCACTTATACCGATATTCCTTGCCTTATTTATTATGAGCGCTGTTGTATTAAATAAGAAATTGAGATTTTATAGTGATAATGTAGGCCCCTTATCTTTATACAAACAGTGCATAATTTATTCTTTTAATGCCTTCAGTTGAAGTTGTAAACCACCAGCACTAAAGAGTGTTCTAACACCTGTATTTACCTTTTAGTTGGATTTTTGTGTCCTCCCCCTGCCCTCCACTTTCTAATCTGTGATACATTTCTGTGTTAATAGGATAGCTGACAGTTCTTTTCAAGTATACTTAGGAGAGCAAAAGAGGCTCTTCTCATGGTTCTTATGGGAAGGAGGTCATGCTTCTGTTTTTTAGTTTGAATTTGATACTGTTTCATGAATTGTGGGGTATGAAAGATAAGGAAGTAAGTCCAGTGGTCAAGTTTTACCTGCCCACCCGGACTTTGCCCTGAGGTCAAACTTCTGATATTTGCTGTTCTGAATAGAGGAGTTGATGACAAGTAGGAGCTGATACAAGAGAAAAGTTAGAACCATATCAAAGCTTAAAGGCAAGAGAATTGGGACTCAATGAGAGCCTGTAGCTAAAAGATGGATCAGCAGGACTGCTCTTTAAAAAAAAAAAAGCTGACCTGTGAATGAAAAGACTTTATCATCCTGCCAATCACGTGCTTGCTAATGGAAGCCAGTTATCTCAACATTTTATGGCCCACTGTCCTAACAGGACAATGTGGAGGAATAGCAAGCAATGATGAAAGTGGATTATTTAAGTATATTTCTTTTAAGGAAGTTTAAATGTATGTTATTTTGAACATAATTTGTATTTTTGTGTAGATTGTTTTTTTTTATCAAATTGCTTACTTTTTTAAAAAAAACTCCTTTCCTTCCAGTAAAAATTTAAGACACTTATTTGATCAGAGCTCGGTTCTGCTTATTTATACTTACTCATATTTAGCCTCTCAAACTGAGACCAACCAAGGCTTTCCCAGGTACATTTTCTATATATGTCCTTCTGTCATATAGGTATCAGATGGAGATTGTAGGTCTACTGTATTATCATCTATATGAAAGTCTTGTTACTTGAAAATTAGATTTGTTTTGTGAAACTATATGCAATTCAATTCAATAACCATTTATTAAGTGTTTACCATGGTTCAGGCACCAAGAATACAGAGACATAAAGGAGAGTCCCTGCCTTCAAAGAGTTTGCATTCTACTTGAGGGAAACACTATTTCATGGATAAGTAAATACAAAATAAATATAAGGTAATTTATGAGAGGAGCACTAATTGTCCT